GTGTGTGTGTGTGTGTGTGTATATATATATATCTATATATATATATAGGGAGTGGATTATGTATGCCCACTCGCTAACCGCTACAGTAAACACCAATGACTTAGAATGAATCTGAGCCGATCTAATGGTCACGACCTCATTTTGTATTTGAATTTTAATTTTTTTTCTACAAATGCAAATCACTTAAAAATTTAGGCATGTGTTTTTCTCATCAAGGCGCACTTAATAAAAATATAAAAAAAATTATTTGCAAAACAATTAACCAAAATACCCCCAAAACGTTTTGGGGGTATGCAATTTATTTAATGTAAAAATATTTTTTTGATATTTTTCATAGATTCGACTATTTTTTAAGAACACACGTCTAAAATTTCAAGTGATTTGGTTTTGTAAAAAAATAAAATAAATAAAATAAATAAAATTCAAATGCTACCAGACATCCTTGATCGTCAGATCGACCCAAATTCAATTTGGACCGTGGGCGTTTACTATAGCAGTACGCCTATGGGCATATATACATATATAATAACTCATATGACACACCTATGAAGTTTTGGGGGTATTTTTGTTATTTATTTTTTTGGAAAACAATTTTTAATATTTTATTTTGATGCGAATTTGCCAGATATACACACGCCCTAAGTTTCAAATGATATAATTTTAAAAAAATTATTAAAATTCAAATACAACTAGACAAAAGTGACTTTGTGTTGGGTTTTGGATAGGAGTGGCAGCGGGGGTTGGCCTGACCCGACCCAAAAAAAACTAGGGTCTGAGATTGGCTCGGGCCAGCCCTTATTTTTATATTTTTATATTTTTGCATTTTCTTTAATTTTACCTGGCCAAACCCGATGCAACTCCTCCTTGACAGGGCTAGGACTAGGCTTGGGCTAGCCCGTACAGGAATAGGGATAGGAGTAGGCTTGGGCTAGCCCGTACAGGAATAGGGCTAGGCCTAACCCAGCTTGGCCCAGGCCATTGCCAGCCTTAATTTGGATAGTTACGGGCTATAAGTGAAATACTGTAGAACTTCACACATTTATAAATATTTTCCTTTATGCATATAATTGATATATAAAATGACTATTTACTTTTGGTACAAAGAGTTTACCGTTATTCTTGTCTTTTAGATTTCAAATTAAATGGTTCATATAGTATTATTAACTACACTCAAAGTTCAATTTTTTTTTCTCAAACTCCATGACACACTCTAAGCCATCCCATTTGACATCTTATGTCTAGGAGTAATTGTGGGCTTCTTATAACAAAGATAAATGTTATTGTAATATGCAATCCTATACATGTAAAAAAAAAGTTTATATACAGGCGATGCTTTAAAAAATCAAATTAAGGCGCACATCAAAAATTCACTAAAAGAAGAAGGTTTTGATGCATAAAAAATCCTCAAATTAATCATCTCGAACTCAAGATGTTTATACATGAGAAAAAGTGGATTTCAAGTCTTCGAAAATAATGCGTGTGAAGGTGCGCCTTGTTTTTGATTGTTTGAGGCCTCGGCCTTATACAAACCACGTTCGGTAGATAATGTCATTTTTCTTGTGGTATAAATCAGGTCGATTTAAATGCCGGATTTAACAAGGTTAGTGGATAGATAGGCAGTTAAACACCCTAAAATTATCAAATTTTGGATCTAAGAGAGTCAAAATGTCAGTGAAAAGAGGAATAAATTGATAGATCGGTAAATAACGGCGCTATCTTTTTTTGACACTAGCCGTAAAGCAAAAGTAACGAAATAATAGGCAGTTCTCTCTCTCTTCCACCTGCTCCTCTCTGCAAATTCAGTAAAATATTGAGGGTATTTTAGTCAAGATATTTGGATAAGGGGACATTTGGGTAAATACGAGGGCCTAGTCTAAGCCTAGTAATCATCCCAATCTGGTTTTGGATTTTTCTCACACACTGGTTTGGCCAGCCGTTCGAGAGCCACGTAGGACACGTGCGCACCCTAGACACCCTCTCTTTTTTATTCTATGACCTTGTTTTCTCTCTTTCTCTCTCTACATTTCTCTCTCTACCCTTTGTTCCTGTTGTTTTTCTCTCTGTCCATGTTTACCCTCTCTTTTTGTTTGTTTCTCGCTCTATAACTGAATGCTTCTCTCCTCTTTCTCTCTACCATCGATCATTTATTTTTAAAAAAAAATTATTTCACTCTCTCTCTCTCTCTCTCTCTCTCTCTTC